TTGTTTTTATACTATTTATAAACATTTTAATATAAATAGAATAAAAAAATTCTTTTCTTACTGTATAAAGATGATCAGAAAAAGTATTACTCTCTCTCCTAATTTATAAATTTCGAATTATAAGTATCTGAGTACTTAAATTATTGTGGTTAAAATGTAAAAACTCAATTTAACTTGTATTTACAAGTTAAAGTTCAACTGTTTTTTGATAAAATATTTGTATTTTCACAGCATAATACTCATATGCAAAAATTAAAAAAATTTTATTATAATAATTTTCTTTTTAGGTGAATGTAATTCTCCCTAAGTAATAATGGTTTTAACTATTCATATTATATAAATGTTCATATATAAATTTTAAAATTTTAAAAATAAAAAATATCATAATTAAAATAAAATGAAAAAGAAGTTAAAATATTTTCATTCTATTAATTAATGTTTAAATATTTAGTTTTTTAAAACGTTAATTGGCAACTCCCTTCGATAACACAACCCAGTTTCCCACTTTTCTCTAATGTACTGACCACAACCACCAGATTCAAAACTACGAAATCTGAGGGGATTTCATCTTATTAGGATCCAATTGGACTTTACCTTTTGATCCTTTCAAGCGCAAACATCCAATTATCCAACGAAGCTACGTCAACAATCCCCGCCAATTGCTAATTACGCAAACACAATAAACGATAAGAGCTCAATTCTCTGATTTCAAATTCAATCCGAAGAAGAAATGAATCTATTCAGGTAACGACGATCAATTCAAGAATGCAAGGGTGTGGCATTAAAATTTAATCATACAATCAAGGAAGATTGTTATATTTCAGCCAGCCGAATTATCACTTTTTCATATCAACAATAGTTGCACAAGAAAGCAATTGCAAAACCCTAATTCGTGAAATTCCCCAAATCCCTAAATCTCTAACCACCAAAGCCGTATAGAGTCCTGCCCTGCCTCTTCAAGGCGTACACAACATCCATAGCCGTCACGGTCTTGCGGCGAGCGTGCTCCGTGTAGGTGACAGCGTCGCGAATCACGTTCTCAAGGAAGATCTTGAGCACCCCACGGGTTTCCTCGTAGATTAGACCGCTAATACGCTTCACGCCGCCACGCCGGGCGAGACGGCGAATCGCTGGCTTGGTGATACCTTGAATGTTATCCCTCAAAACCTTGCGATGACGCTTAGCTCCTCCCTTTCCGAGTCCCTTGCCTCCCTTTCCTCTTCCAGACATGGTTAAACTTTCTTGCTTCTTCTTCCTCCTCTCTCTCTCTCTCTCTCGGACGCTGAGGCCGAGGTCTTGGATCGAACTGATAGGGTGAATGTAGATATCTGAGGCCTTATATAAAACACGAAGATATACTATGGATCGTTGGATGAGCTGGCTATCCGTGCGTCGAGTACGGTGGATAGCGACACCGTTGGATTTGGAATCCACGATTTTTATTGGTGGAATGCAGGTGGGGCAAGATCGGAGGCTTTATGTTTTCGGAGCTATTTTGGTGGGAAATGTCAAATATGCGAGAGTGCGGGGAAATTTTTCCAGGACCGCCGTTTGTTTCCTGAAACAATTAAAAGGCGCTTACTATGAAATTTTTTAGTTTTTTATCCGTTTTCAAACAAAATATAGCAACAAATAACTTAATAAAAATAGATATAATAAACTATTGTATATAAAGCATAAATTTTTGAACTTATAACATCGCTAAAAAGTGTAAGATTTTAATTTAAAAAAATTTATTTGAATCTAAATTCCTTTATGCATGGCTAAATATTCTGGCATAGACTGTGAGTGTGTAAAGGAAAAAAAAAATTTTGAATAGGTTTTTTTGGCCTAAAAAATAGTTTATTACACTTGTAAGAAATGAAAATAGATTTTTTTAACCACTTATTTACAAATATAGAGAGAGTGAATGCAGTAACACATACGAGTACCATGGAGTTCTCCGACCCAAATTATTGAGTTGGGCCTTTAATGTGTGCACATTTTCACTGATCTCAGTTTTATATGTGCACCCAATAACCTGTAAATTCATATTTTCTATGGTCCTTTTGTTAAGCTATCGAGATTTCATTCAGTGGCTTTATTGTATTTGTTACTCTTCAAAAGAGTCTATTTGCATTTTAATCAGGTATAATTAATTCAAAAATTAATTATAATTAATTTTAATTTTAATTGATTATGTTATAATGCAATCTATTTTGATATTATTTTTTTAAAATTGCTTTTAACTATGTAAATTACCATAAAAATATTATTTCAAAATTAAATTATTAATAAATTATATTTAATATTATTAAATTTTTAACTTTCATTTAACAAGTAAAATATATTATTTAACAATAAAATTGAATCTATAAATAATCTCTTAGAGCTTATTTCAAAACAATAAAATTATGATTGATTTTGATTTTAGTTAGTTGTTTGGGTAATTTTTAATATAATTGATTTTTTTTCACCCCAAAAATCAATTATACACCCAATCCGAACAAGTTGTAAGAAACATTACAAGTTCAGTTCCATCTATGTTTATGTACAGCAAGTTCGCTCATGTCAATGGTAACGAATCAAAAGATGAATATGATTTGAACTCTTGCCAGTTATGTGATGTCATATACAAAAAGTTGTGACTTAAGTTATTGCCAATAGAATTAAACCTTTTCTTCCTAATATTATTGCTCCTAATCAGTGTCGTTTTAAATGAGCTCAAATAATATCATCATATTTCATGAAGTTATTCATTCTATGTGTAATATGAACGAGAAGAAAGGTTTTATGGCGATTAAGATTAATTTTGAAAAAGCTTATGACAGAGTTAATTGGGATTTTCTTATCTCATGCCTTGAGGAGATTAATTTGCTAACAAAATTGATTGATGTTATTCGTCATTGTGTGAGATCTTCTAGGATGCAAATCTTGTGGGAAGGAGTAAAATAGAAGAATTTAAACTAGAGGCATTCATCAAGGAGATCCTCTATCTCCTTATCTTTCTGTATTATGTTGAAAAACTTGCTCATCTAATACAAGAGATTGTTAAAGGTATTTGGAAGCCCATTCGCTTAAATAAAGATGGTCCTCTTCTTTTCCATCTTTTCTTTGTTGATAATCTTGTTATTTTTGTGAAAGCGACTGTAGACCAAGTGCAAGTGATTAAATAATGTCTTGACTATTTCTGTGCAATGTCTGGACAGAAGGTAAGTCATTTTAAAACTAGGGTTTTTTTTTCTAAGAATGTGAACCATAATAAAGCACAGCAACTTAGTAACTTACTTGAATTTAACCGTACAGCAAATATGGGTAAATATCTTGGGGTCCCTCTTTATCATAACCATGTGACTAAAAATACTTATCAATTTGTGGTGGATAAAATGAAGCAGCGACTCTCTAGTTAGAATGCTACTTCTATCTCTTTTGTGGTGGATAAAATGAAGCAGCGACTCTCTAGTTAGAATGCTACTTCTATCTCTTTTACAGGATAGATAACTCTAATAAAGTCTATGTTGAGTGCCATTCTTTTATATTGTATGCAAACAACTCATCTTCTTATGAGTACTTGTGAGGAGATTGATAAATTTTCTCATAGTTTTCTATGGGGTTTGACTGGGGAAAGAAAAAAGATTTATCTTGTTGCATGGGATGAAGTATGTAAACTAAAAAGAAATGGTGGCATTGGATTAAGACATACACAACTTCAAAATAAAGCCTTTATGATGAAAGCGAGATAGGGCCTTATATATAGCAAGAAGGCTTTATAGACTAGAGTCATCATGAGTAAGTACAAACGTGGGAGGGAGTTAATACCACAAGTGAATAGGACTCACCCTAGATCTCAGTTCTGAAAAGGTTTGAGAAAAAATTAGGAGAAAGTCCAAGCTGGGTGGAATTCATGACTAACTATGTGAATAAGGTAGCTGTTAAATGGACACCAAAGAAGCATGGTATATTTACTATTAGACCTGCTTATGATTTTTTGATAGATAGTTATGCTTGCCGTGATCAGATGTGGGCTAAGATTTGGAAACTTTGAGTACTTCAGCGTTGTAGATCTTTCCTTTGGCCTATGAGTCATGACTGTATCCTTATTAATAAGTCTCATTTTGACCATCATTCGAGCATCAACTGTGGTTTTGTTGTTGCCCTGGGGAGGTTGAAGACACTTTGCATGTGATGAGACAGTGTCCTAAAGCTAGGGAAGTATGGATGAAACTGATAAGGGCTTCTCAAAGACAAGCTTTCTTTGCTATGGACTTGCGTGAATGGTGTAAGATGAATCTTAAGATACAGGTGGAAGTTAAAAACTCCAAGTAGTGTGATATGTTTGTTGTTCTGTATTGGGTGATATGGAAGCGTAGAAATGAGAGAGTTTTTTAGGGTCGTAGATCGACATTAGTGATTGTCATTATACAAACTACAGCTATCCTTAATTGCATGAAAAGGGCTAACCTTCGTTTACAAAATACATCTATTCCTAGCATTCATCTAACCATGTAAGCATATGTGAACACTTTGACTATTGATGAGCTTTTTATTTATGTTGATAAGGCTTTTGCAGTTCTTATGGGTGCTAAAGGTTGTAGAGGACTAGTTAAGGATACTAAAGGAAATACCATTGAAGCTTTCATGCTCCAATTAGAGAAAGCCAATAACCTGATGGCGGAACTATGAGCATGTTATATGAGACTTAAACGTGCTTGGGATATCAAAACCAAACATGTAAGACTTCATAGTAACTGTCATGAAGCATTATCTCTGTTAAGAACTACTAATTACGGTCTTCATGAGGATCGAGAGATTATTACAGAGATTCAACAATTACTTCAAAAAGACTGGAAGGTTAATATAATTTGCATTAGAAGGAAGTTCAACATAAAAATTGATTTCTTAGCTAAACATGCCTTATCTCTCCCCACGGGCTTTCACATAGTGGCAATGTGTCGCTTAGGGTTTGGCATCACAAGATCTATACCCACCTTGTCTTGGTCTCTTTCTTCAACAACATCCAAGGTCATAAGTCAAAATAGCTTGAGGAGGAAAAGAGAATAGGAAAGTGAATGGCTGGAGATCATCTATAAAGAAGTAGAGTAAGAAAGGAAGGAAGAAGGAATACTTACATGGATATTTTTTTATTTTTTTAAATGCTATGTAGCTATCAACTAGGTAAAGAAAGTCAAAGTAATAATCAGTTAACGCTACCGGTAGGGTAAAATTACCTTTTTTTGAAAATTTAAAATAAAATTATTCCAACAAAAAATTTAAAATGCCAATGTTCTCAAAGAAAAAATTTTAAATTATTTTTGTTCTTTAACCATTATTTTAATGATAAAGGGGAAATTTGTTGCTTCTTTTTTATCACTCAAAAGCTTGATTCTTTTTTATCACTCAAAAGCATCTCTTTTTTTTGCAATATGCATTGAAAATATGAGCACATGCATATGTAAGTATAATATATATATATATATATATATAAAGCTAACAACAGTGGCTTAAGGTTAGGGTGGGAATAAGCCAAATCCTTAACAAGGACCTATAATTTGACCTACTTCAACCTATTTATTAAATAGACTCAAACCATGTTCAGGCTTTTAATCAAGCCTATTTAGTTAAATAGGACAGGCTTATTTTTTAAAACCTGTCCTGCAAGCCCAACAAGTTGACCTATATATATATATATATATATATATATATATATATATATATATATATTATATAATATATCACAAACACATCAACTTTATCATTTGATTTTTAATCAATCTATTATTTTTTATTTCTAGTTATATTTTCAATCATATTAGACTTATGTATTAATTTTAATGTTGTTACTTTGTTGTTATATTGTATTATAGTTTATAAGTCTTTTCAATTATTATATATTTTAATTGATAAATCAAGTTATATATTGCATATTATAATAATCTTAAAGTATATTTGAGAGGTTTAAAACTAAATAGACTTTTAGGTCGAGCTAGACTTTAAGTAAGTTCAAGCCTGAGTTCTAACAAAAGCCTTATATATGTTTCAAACGAGGCTAAGCTTTTTGATTTATTACACAAGCTTTGACTTAGTTGATTAAAATTTAAATCGACCTGTCCTATTTCTACCTTTACTCAATGCTAATCATTTGATTGGGTGGGAGAAAAAAAAAGGAAAACTAATAAAGAAAATTCTCAAAAATAATTTTGAAAAAAAATACTATCTTTAAAAATTTTCTCCTTATCTTTTTTTCCTTCCCATTTATTTTTATTTAACTTTCTCTCCATCAAAAACCAAACATAAGAGCCAGCCCCTTTGAGGGAAAAAGGGTCATGTGTTTAGTGTGTGTGGGGGTTTTTAGTTTACGTTTAATAAAAATTATTTAGAAATCTAACTATTTGTTGAATTTGACAAAAAGATATTCTACATATAGTTTAAATGTACTTTTAAAGATTACTCAAAATTTTTAGACTTCTAGTTAGTTTGCGTGATATATATTGATGTGTAAATTTTTTTTTTGGGTAATAGTGATGCGTAAATTCTATGAATTATGAGAGAAGGAGGCATATATAGTTTTGAAATGAGTCTTGAAAATAACATGTCGTAAAGATAAATAGCGAATTAAAATGTAGGATATAAGAATATTGTCAACAAAATTAAACTGATAATCCATTGAATCCAAATATCTTGTGGACATATATCGTTCTGAATTGATTTGCCTTATGACCTCTCAATTAACACTTCATGTTCCTCTTCTTGTGCCCTCCTGAGTTTTGCTTGGCTGGAATTATCCGAATTCTCTTTGCCACGCGTACAAAATCCCTATTATATCATAGAAATGCAAATCCTTAATTGTCAAAATCATTAAAACCATCAAAAGTAAAACTTATATCAAGCTTGTAAATAATAAATAACGTGACTAGTTTTAAATTCCGCATATGTATAATTAATGGCTAAATTTTACAGACATCTTAACAAAGGGGGAAAGTATAATAAATTTTGCATTTCTCTTTATATGTAAAGCATCTTAAATTCTTAGTATTAGAAGTTAATAATGTTGAGACAGTTAAGAATTTCAATTTTTACAGGACGGCGCTTAATTAAGTGAGCAGGCATTTTCCAACTTCTAAACCACGTAAACAATAATTTATCCTCGAGATAACGGCATTTTGTTTAGTACTGGTTAGTAGAGGCTGATAATTAATACTCTTTAGAGTTCTATTTATAGAATAAAGAGAGAATTTTTTTTATAAATTTTTTTTATATTTATAAACTACCTTATTAAATTTTCAACATAAACCCTCCCTTCTATTTTCCATTAACTATTAGAAAAAGAAAATATGTTTTTAAATTATATATTTAATAAGAAAAAAATTAAGAACTTGTTAAATTTTAAAACAGAGTTAACAAATTTAAAAATTTTTTAAATTCTAATAAAATATATTAAAAGTGATTTATGAATAGTATCAGAAGAGTTTTAAATATACTCTCTTTTATCCTATTTATAAGATAGAAATAAAAGTTTTTTTATTCTATTTTTAAGTTATATTATTAATTTTTATTACAATTTTTTTACCTTTCATTGAATATTGGAAAGAGAAAATATATTATATATATATATATATATATATTTAATAAGGGCAAAGTGAATAATTTATTAAATTTTTATGTAGAGTTAATAAGTTTAAAATTTTCTTGATTTCTCTAAAATATATTGAAAATATCCTGTAAATAAGATAGGCGAAGTATAAAACAGTAGTTTATTATTCTTTTGGATAAAATCTCTCACATGCTTACTATAATTTGAAAAATGATTAAATGAACACATTACCTCCAAGAACAAAATTATTTGTTTAGTTTAACTAAAATGTTAATCCTTTCAATGTTGGAACTATACTCTACAAATTAAATTGAAATATACTAAATCTAAAAGAAAATAAAGAAGTAATTATTTAATTAAAGCGGAAAGAACCTTACTTCCAGTTGAGGTCGCCGGCGAGAAGCAGATCATTCTCCATATCTTCATAAGCAATAAGGTGACCGGGAATGGCATTGGAAAGATCAAGATTGCGGTCATCGGCCGCCGCCTCCGCCATTCCAGCCGGGTCGACATACATCTGGCGGAGAGCCTTGGCGAGGCTGTGGTAGCTGGCGTGGTGGTGGAGGTTGATTCGGTGGCAGATGGAACGGCCCTCCAAGACCACCGTCACGGCAGGGACAATGGTGGACAGGAGATCGTGGTCGTCAAGGTCAGGGAAGCCATGGAACTTACTGTGAGTGAAGTTGGCAGGCAGGTTAGCAGAGAAAGAAGCCGAAGAAGAAGAAGAAGACGGAGTTACAGAACTACTCATAAGATTATTGTTGTGATGAATGTTTAGCGTCGTTATGTCTTGCTGATAAGTTGATTTCGAGGAGCAAGAGCCTTCTCTGTGCAGATCGAACCTGTTCATGTTTTCTTCTGAGTTTTTTGCGGAAGTAATCGAAAAGGGAATATGGTTGTGGTTTGGTGACTATGGTTTAATTTTAAATATGAAATGATATGTGGGGACTATGGTTTTGGTTAATATATTTATACACACGTTGGGGTCTTGGTGAAAGATCAGACGTGTGTGTGTACAAGCATAATACAAGCTAGAGAAAAATATCAGAAAATCATATTGGTTCTAAATTATTGCCCATTGAGTCAGATTGGCATGATTATTAAGCTTTAATTTCACACCTTAACTACTAATCCATCTACTCCCTCTCATAAGACACTAAGTATGAGTGGATTTGGGAAGTTCGACCTCAACAGGTAAAATTATTTTTAATAACTAATATTAAATAAAGAAAAAAGTGTTATAAATTTAAGTTTTGAGATTTTAAATTAAAACATGACATTTAAAACTTAAATTGACTTGAAATCTTGAAAAGCTTGTTGTTGTCCAAACATTTAAGTTTCAAAATTGTGCTAGCTCTTGTCACAAGATGGGGTTGGCATTGATCCCAACAAGGATTTGGTTGGCCTTCCTTGATTAGAAGTGCAAGGACTAAATATTCAAATAAAATTTAATTTAATAACTAATATAAAATAAAAAAAAGGACTCATGAACTTGAGTTTTAAATTTTTTAGCTAACTCACTAGAATTAAGAAGAAGTGGTTAAGTTATTAATTTTGTTTGAAAATATAATAAACTTTTAATTTACACATATTTAAATAAAAAAATTAAATTCACTTTACATTCTCTCTCATAGTTAATAAATTTAAATATAGTTAATATTGTAAAAATATAATTAATTTTACATCAAGTATTTTATATTAAGAACTGGATGATATTTCTAGAAGGTGCCCTATTATAATATGGACCAAAGGAAATGTGCAATTTAAAACTAAAAAAAAATGTACTCCCTGCTTTATTAAAAAATATAAAGTATCTTTTGAGGGGTTGAATCATAGATGTTAAAAATTATAAAATATTTTTAGTGTTTTAATGTGTAATTAATACACATTTTTCAAAAATTTATCTAATAAATAAATTATTTTATATTTATTTTAAAATAAAATATCTTATTAAATAAAAATAAATATAAAAAAATGGTGTCAATTTGAGAACAATTAGCTGCTTTATTACGAGTAAGATTGGATAAAAAATGTATTAATATTTTGAGAGAGGGAGTATCAAATACCAAAGACTTCTCACTGATATTACTTCTTTTTAAAGGTTGTTTGGCAGGATTTTTTTCATATCAATTAATATTTCATACATACATACATATATCTATATATATATAAAAGAAAATTTCACAAAAAAATTAAATTTTACGCGGCTATTTTCTTTTTTCTTTATGTATGAACCTTTTGTTTTATTATCTAGTTAAATGGGCACCCAGGATTTATTTGTTAAAAATAACGCAGAAGGCAGAAGGTTTGACTTGAACCCCCCCTCCAAACACTGATTTTAAAATTTTTTAAATTTAACGGTCTTTATGTACATGACTAAAAAAAGCAACTAAAAAAATATATATCATATTAAGCAGTAAAATATGTATGAAGAATAAAATAACATCATGCATATTGAAATCAATATCATCGATAAAATCTATAAAATTATAGCAAATGGAGTTATTTACTAATTGCAAATTCAGATTTAAGTCGTCTCATTAACTAAGTTTTCATGTTCCATCTTGTTAATAATTATGACTCTTCTTTGCCGACATACTATCTCACTTCCTTGTATTATTAATGCACAAACACGTCCCCTGCTCATCTTTCTCACTGTACAGGTACTCTCTTATTTTTGTACACAAGAAAAAAAAAATTATGGCACATGGTTTATAAAAATCAGTTAATTATAATAATTATATTTAAAAATAAAAAAAAATTCAAATGTGTTGTGTTAATCAACATAAGTATGTATTAATTATTTTTAATTAATATAAATTATAATAGATGATTTAAAAAGTATGTAATAAATGCTTACTGAAATGAGTGATTTTATTTATATAAAAAGATAAGTAAAAAATAATAATTTTTTTAATAATAAAATATAAAGGGAGTACAACTTATGGACCATTCCAAAGACTTCTTCACTATTTTTTCTGGTCCAAAAAACTGACTGACTTACTATTTATAGCTCATGAATGCTCGTTCTCCTTGTTAACGAAAGTCAAAACTACATTATCAACTGCATTATGTTTTAACTTTCCACTGGTTTACATTTTCTTCTCATTCTTTGTACAAATGTGGAAGTAATTATCTGATAATTACAAAAAATTTCAACTGCTTATGAGAGTCAAGCCCCTCGGATCAACAAGGTCCAATCAATTGGTTGTGGAGGACACAATAGTTTTCCTTAATGTGAAAAAGTGGGTTGGGGATGTTTGCTTGTGAGAGAAAAAGATGGTGGTTTTGTTAATAGTTTATTTTTCTCGAGAATAACAATCAACTGATTATTTAAAAAAGAACTCGGAAATTCACAGAAGTGTACTTATCTAGAGTGGGCCTCGTTTTGAAGATGCAATTGAAAATAAATTTTGCCTAGGGATGGCCGTTTATTTATCTACATTTAATGCGTGAAGAAAAAGCAAGCTGTCCCTTCTGCGTTGCTTGTAAGATTGAGAAAAAGAGGATTTTTTATTTTATTTCATGATAGTTACTTTTTTTATTTTTTTAAAAAATATTACTTTTAATTCTTACATTTTACTTAAATTTTAATATATATTTTTATATTTTTTTAACATTTTAAATCCATACATATTTTTTCACTATAACATTAGTTTTTATATTTTTTTTAAAAAATATTAATATGGCATAAATAGTATTAATATGCTAACATATTAATTTTATACTTATATGTCAAACTAACATTGACATAGAAATTTTTAATGAGCAAAATTTTAAAAAAACTTATTCCCTCCGTTCTAAATTATATAATACCTTTGAAGGAATTTTTCTATCATAAAATATAAGATATTTTTAATAAATTAAAGTTTTATTAAATGTATCAATTTTAATATTATCCTTTCTCTCTTTATAATTAATTTTCTTCCTTTCTCTTTTTAATATATTAAATGATGGGTATTTTCAAAAGTTTATACTTTTATTTTGAAAAAATAAAATTGTTAAATATATTTAATAAGATTTATTAATTTATGAAATTTTGTCTAAAAGTATTTTATAATTTAGGATGGAAGGAGTATATTAAATGAAATCAAAAGGCTGACCTAAATTTTTTAAGTGATAAGCAAAACACATGAATTTCATGTAGGCTTTTTCTTTATAAATTTTTGCTTATTTAAAATTCTATATTAGTACTAGTTTGACACGTAAGCACAAAATTGACAATTTTAATTGATATATTAGCACTGTTGATACTGTTTGTGTCACATTAATATCCCTTTAAAAATATAGATATTAATGTTGTAAACAAAAAAAAAAAAGATATGGAACATCCAAAAAAATATAGAGATTTACAATAAAATTTAAGTAAAATTTAGGAATCAAAAGTAATATTTTTCCTTTTACTTTTTGTTATATGTTTGAAAAAGAATGTAGGCTATTAACATATGTATATTTACTAAAGATAAAGTTAAACACTTATTAAAATTTTAGACTAAAGGAAAGAGTTTTAAAAACATGGTTGATTTCAGAGAAATATTTTAGAGATGATTTGTAAATGAGACGAAAGAAAGTATATATCACTACAAATTATTACTCTACATCAAGGTACGTAAAACCGAACCGGTTATTAAACCGGTCATGGCACTGGGTCACGGGTTAGTGGTTCAATCAGGGTTGAACCGGGGGTTGAACCGGTGGCAAACCGGTCATGATTAAAATAATACAATTTAAATAAAAAGACATTAATTATAAAAACATTCAACCAAATCCAACCACTCAAAAGTCTAACAATAATAAAATACTATATTTTTGGACTTAGCATGCTCTATCTCTAATTTTTTATTTTTTGACTTTAATTTTACTTTTTTTTGTTATTTTTTTCCGAACTCAGAGCTCTGAAAAATTAAAAATGAAAAAAAAAATTAAAAACGACGTCGTTTTGGGGTAAAAGCCTGAAAAAATATTAACCCGGTTAACCCAGTCAACCCACCGGGTTATCCGGGTTATACCGGGTTGAACCCGGGTTGACCGGGTTATACCGGTTCACTCCCTCACCGGGTTAAGTGCAAACCCAGACCGGACAGGGGACCGGTTCACCGGTTTCCGGGTTGACCCGGCCGGTCCGGTCCGGTTTTCAATACCATGCTCTACATAGATACCCCTTCACTCAAAAACATAAGGTCAATTTATAAGTTTCGATTTGATTTTTCTTGGCGCCAATTGTTAAGGGCTAGACCGAAATGAAGCAAGCCACGTCGGCACGTCCCCAACACGCATGGAGAGGCTTATGATTCGCGTGCACTTTCAGGCCCCCTCTACATGGAGATTTGTAAACCGATTCTCAAGTCATTAAGTTTTGATTTGATTCTAAATGTAAGTTTCAGATCCCCCTTGCTTCATACATTAAATTTATAATTTGTTTCTTGTAATACTCGGGACACTTTTATCTCTGCCTCGTAAATTTTAATTATTAAATGACACGAGTGTTCCTGGAAAAATATCACAAATTTTTAACATATTAATTATTCTCTCCAGTCCTTTATATTTATAAAATAAAGGGAGAAAGTTTTTTATCTTTTTTTATAAGACATGACATTAATTTTTAACATAAGCTTTCCATTTTACCCCCATTAAACATTGTAAGAGAAATTATACTTTATTATATTTAATGATAATAAAGTTAGAAACTTGTCAAAATTTTGCCCAAAAAGAAACTTGTTAAATTTTTAAAGAGTTTTCAATGAGTTTTATATTGTGCTAGGCTTATAAGAGAAAATGTGAGGAGAAAAAAAATAAAAAGATGTAATTTTCTCTTCCCATTCTTGACTGAACGAGGGAAAATAGAAGAAATTAAAATTTTGATTTCACACGAACAATAATAACATTATTATTTGTAGAAAAATATTTATATATAATAATATTTAATATTTTAAATATTATTTACATAATTTTTATTATATATTATTGATTAAATAAAAATATAATTGAAAATTATTTTCTTTGATGATAGCAAAAAAGAAAATAGTTGTCCAATTTTAATTGTTATTTCTTAAATTATTAAATATATAATAATCCAATTTTAAAGTGGAAGGGAAATTAGGATCAAAATGGAGCGAGACAATAGGCAAGAAATGAAAAGATTCATAAATAAATTTAAAAATTGAGTTTTTTTTAATCTTTTCTTTTTGAAGAGAAAAGTTGCCGGTCAAAAAATAAAAATATATGAATTTCACCTTTTTTTTTAACCATTTTTCCTTCTATCGTATTTCTCTCCCTTCAGGCAAACAAGAGAAAATGCCATTTTTTCCACACTTTTCACTTCCCTTACTTTTATCTCATACCAAGAACAGTATTCAGATTAGTTTGAATAGAGGAAAAAGTGGGAAAAAAAAAATAAGAATGAGAGAAAATTTTTAAAAATAGCAATGTTTTATTACTTCTAGGAGTCGTCTCTCATAATTTTCTTTCTTCTATGTCTTTCTTTCCATCCAAACAAGAGTTAATGTTTTTTTTTTAAATTTTAATAAATAATTAATATGTTAAAAATAATTTATAAATAGGATAACAGAATAATAAATTTACTTACTTTTCTTGGCTTTGGCCTCAATGAACTAGGTAAGAGAATATTGTATTAAAGAAGTGGGATGAACAAAGGTGAAGACAACCTTGAAAGTCGAAGTGAGGCAGGGCGCTGCGGTCGCCGGAAGGTTTGGTGCTTTTGACGAATCCCAAGTCACTGTGTTTCTTCTATGTTTTCTCACTTATTTGCTTCCTCATTGAATTCATCTTTGCTGTAAAACGACATTCAAAATCCACACAATCACAATCACGAGTCACGAATTAAAAGTAACAAGAGCATTTAGCAAGTTGTGTATTCCTTTTATCTTAAATTATAAAATATTTTAAAATAAAATTTTATATATCAACAAATTTTATTAAATATGTTTAACAATCTTGTTTTTTTAAAATAAAAATATAAAATTTTAAAAATATCTATATTTTAATATATTAAAAATAAAAGAGATATAAATTAATTATAAAGAGAGAAAAAATAATATTAAAATTAATTTATTTAATAAAATCTTAATCTATTTATTTAATAAAATCTTAATCTATTTAAAATGTCATATTTTTTAAAATAAAAAATTCTTTTAAAAGTATCCCAATGCCCTTGAAATTTAGGGCTCGTTTAGTTTTTCTGTGTTTTACATTTGAAAAGTAAAATTTTACTTTTAGTATGCTAGAAGTTATTTGAATAAAATATTTTATAAAAAAGCACATTATAAAAATATATTTAAATAATAACTGAAAGTAAATTTGAGAAATGTAATTATTTAAAATTTTAAAAAATAAAATATTATTTGACCATATTATTTAAGTTTAATCTCTTATTCTTTTATTTAAAAAATAGTTAATTTATTAAAAATATAATTATTATTTCAATAATAATAATTAGGTATCAAATTTTTAGCATTATAAATTGAGTAATTAATTATGTTAATTTTTAGTATTAATGTATAATAATAATTACAAATCTTTATCACATTTTCTAAATTTATAAATTAAAAAAGTATAAATAATTAGAGATCAAATTTTTAACATTATAGATCAAATTTTATGTTATTTAAAATATTTATCATATTTTTTAAATATTTTAAATATATTATATTTATATAATAAAAATTAAAAATCATCATAAATTAATATCTTTTTTGATAATTATACATTTAAAAGTATATTTCAACATCATAATCTAAACAATTTTTGGTACACTAAACTGATTTTTAAAAAATATATTTAAATATAAATTTTATTATAACAGCTAATTTTTATTAAATTAATTTTTGTTAAATAAAATTTTATCAAATAAATTTTTAATAAATTGAAAATTAAACACGCACTTAATGAACTGTTTTTGCCATCCTCTGTACGCGCGCGCGAGAGATTAATATTTCGAAAAGGAATTCCAGAAACGTGCGAGTTTGGCAAACTCGTTTGGTCTCGAATGTGCGTTGGCACTGAGCAGTTGATAATTTCAATGTAGCAATTTTCAAGGATTAATTACAATTATTGGTTGCATTTTATTGACCTTTTAGTATTTATATCTATCATCCCATTATATTTTTATTTTTTTTCATTTTAAATTAAAAGATATTTTTAAATAAAATTTTATATATCAATAAATTTCATTAAATATACTTAATAACTTTATTTTTTAAAAATAAAAATATAAATTTTTAAAAGTATCTTTTATTTAATATATTAAAAAAAAATAATGAAGAGAGTACTTTATATTTAATATATTTAAAAGTATCTTATAATTTGAGATATGAAAAGTACTTTATACTATATTTTTTTTACACATTTAGTCAACAATAATTAGGCAAGATTTTATGGCCTATACATTACAGAAAGATTTTTTAGTTTTTAATATAACATATTTGATAGGATATTAATTATACTTTTTTAATATTATTATTATTAAAATTCGTTGACTATGAAAGAGAATAGGGGTAAATTGAAAATTTATTCCATTTTCAGGTAAAATACAATTTAACCGTTTTTCATTAGTTTTGATGAGGTAGGATATTTTATAAAAGGGATTGGAGGGAATATAAAATAAAGAAAGTGTTAAAAAACAAGTAAATCTTAACTCAAAATTTTAATATACCAATAGGTGATCTTTTCACTTATTAGTATGAAAAATTTGGATCAATCTGCCTGGTTCTTATTAATATCAAGTTCATTATTTTTGCATCATTAATGGCTATTCTTATTAATAGATTTCAACGTAGAAATGAGTCCTCAATTAATAAATAATGCAACAAATTTCTTTAGTTTGTCAAATTAGTTGGTTAAATATAGTGGCCGGTTCCAAAGTCATTAAATGGTTCCTAGTTGGTTAAATGCTGTTAATCAAGTTAAAATAATAGTTTTCTATTCTTTCAATAGGTCTTGCTAGCACGTATGCATGAAATTTTTTACTATATCTGTTAAACAATGCTAACATCCCAAAATAAATGGCGTTTCTTCTGTGATATTATAACATCTCTTTCTCTCTGCTTTGCAATATGCTCCATCAGTAAAAAATGAAAAAAAAATCTCATCCAAGGCCGTGTGAAAAAGTGCTAGGGCCTAAGATAAAATTATTTTGAGAGGCCTAGTGTATTCATATTTTTTATTTGACATTTTTACCATTCTAATTCTAAAGGTTATAACAAATTTTATTAAAAAAAATCATAATTTCATATAAAAAGTAATATAAACAGTAAAAGTGTAATAAATACACCTGAAGTGGCTGCCACCTTAAATCTATGATTAATGTTTTTGTTTTAATTTCAATTAGATAGCAAGCTGAAAATTCCAATGAGAAGAAATTATTTGGCAAATGAGTGACAACGTAACAAGTTTGAACACTAGAGTAACATTTTCCTTTAAGAAGAAAATGATGATAGCATTAGTTATTTTGAAAGGGAGGGAGAGATGAAAATTGTTAGTTGCCAACAAAATGATCCCCATCCATTATATATAGTGGCAGTATGCTAATGTTACCTCTCTAAATGACTAATTGATTTTGGGAAATGAGAATGATAGAGACAGTGAAATGCAGAACAATGAATTCTTAATGAAAAGATGTAATTAATAGTAATACTTAACAGTAAAAATAATGATCAGAATTATATAGAGCATGAGCAAATTTTTTGAGGCCAAAAGCAATTGCCTCATTTGCCTGACAATAGACACACGGCTTTGATCTCATCCTGGCTAGAAGGCTAATAATTTAAAAATATTAAATCAAAACAGTCAGTTTTTAAAAGTATTTGATATTTAACTGGTCATTCATATAATTTTCATGACTTATAATAAATAATAAACCGATGTAATATATAAAGAAATTTGCGGTAATTACAAGGGGATGCGATGCTTTTTTGTCTCAGAACCTTTTGGAGGCTCATACGATACGAAAACATGAAGAAAACTGGAACTGAATTACATTATCATGTATGAAAGTGACAAAGAGGAAAAAAAAAAAGAATTTTTATTAAAATAACGAAAAAAGAATTATAAAGTTAGCTCCTGTGAAAAAGCAGCAAGCTCAAAATCCCTTTTAAGGATCCCAGATTCACTCCTTCAAGCTTCGTCTCAAAACCCATGTCTGTATGATCACCACACATCACGTAAATACCTTCCAGTCATTTGCAGATCCTTCACAAAGCTCTCAGCCTTGGAACCTTCCAGAGAACCCTGAAATTCACAAGCCAAAAGAACCTGCTTAGCTACTGACTCAGTCATTCAGCATGCCCCTCTGGTCCCTATCACAAGACACCTTTAACTTTGTCTGAAAATAGAATAAACTTCCAATTTTACTCTTATTTAAATGATTCTTTTTTTTTTTTTGCATTACATTCTTCCTAATAGTTGATGAGTTTAAATAGAGATAATATTGAAAAAAACATAGTTAATATCCCCATCAAGTGCTTTTATTAAATATCAAATAGTTTTTCTAGAAGGCATCCTATAATAAGGACTAGAGAAAGTATTTCGCAATGCATAACACTGTGAGTACAAGGCTTGAGGAGCATTCATAAGAAGGATATCCGAATCTGCACAAACTATCCAAGGAAAAAAACTTATATGGCACATATTAAGAAAGAAGACTTGTATTATGTGGCAAATACTGATTGGTTAATCTCGATCAAATTCAAGAATGCTTTATAAGTTTTTCAACTTCAGTTCAGCATTTATTCCTATAAGCATATACCTGCTCTTGAGCAATTATGTGAAGAGTGCGGTGTACATCCTTAGCCATGCCTTTGGCATCACCACAAACATAAACATAAGCTCCTTGAGATAGCATGTTCCAAATATCTGAAGCCTGAATGCAATGAAGTATTGATTTAAAGACTGGTTTGAAAAACATGTGAAGTTTGAGAAAAATGTGCAGGGCCAAGAGAGACTTACCTTCTCCATCATTTTATGCTGCACATATTCCTTGGTGGGTCCCTCACGAGAGAAGGCAACAACCAGCTCAGAAAGTGAACCGCTGTCAACAAAGTGGCTCAACTCGTCTTCATAGATGAAGTCCTATAAAGAATGAGGAACACAATATAAATTGGAACTTTTTATGTTTAATGTAGTCGTAAATTCAAGAAGAGAGTAACCCAAAAAAGTGTGATTGTATATCAGGTTCACGTTCCTTCTTTACATCTATTATTTCTGTTCTCTCCATAGAAGGGACATTATAGAAGATTCCAATTGTGGCAATGCCACAAAAATTTATAAAAGCATGAAGAAGGACTGAAGATAACTTACCATTTTCCTGTTGCGGCAACCAAAGAATAAAACAGATGGGCCGAGTTCCACTCCGTCTTGTTTCAGGGCTAATCTTTCCTGCAAGAAACCCCTGAAAGGAGCGAATCCGGTACCAGGACCAATCATGACTATAGGCACTTTAGAATCTGCAGGGAGCCTGAAATTGGACTGCCTAACGAATATTGGAGCCCAACTGCAGTTCTGGCTTTCCTCCAATGGCACTGAGTTCTGAACAACAAACAAGAAAACCATGTTAAGAATCCTAGACGATATTTCACAGTACAAATTCCAGAGAAACGTTCATGGGAAACAAAGTTCAGTTTATTATAGTAATAGAAAGTCATATAGTTTTCATCGAAAAAAAGAAAAGAAAGAAAGTTATATAGTGAGAGGACTTTACAATAGCAAATTTCAAGTGGTCTTAAACAAGAAAGTTACAAATCCAGAGGACTTTATAACAAAGTTCAGTTTATTATATTAATAGAAAGTTATATAGTTTTCGTCGAACAAAAAAACGAGAAAGTTATATATTGAGAGGACTTTACAATAGCAAATTTCAAGTGGCCTTAATCAGGGAAGCTGGTAAAATACCAGTACCTTTATCCAAGTTGAAGCAACTCCCTTATGCATCCTTCCAGTGGGCATTTTATCATAAACTAATGCACAGGTCACATGAATTCTGGATGAAGCCATCCTGTGGATAATTTTTGCATATGGTTAGCAGTAAGCACAACTCACTGTTTCCGGAAAAAAAACATAAAACACAAAGTTTAGTTCCCCCTTTAGCTTGTTGTAGTAGAATGCATCATCTATTAAGTGATTATTTTGAAATGTATGGACTAGTTGATTTCCCTTCATGTCCAGAGACCTACATGTGGACAAATGCCCATGTAATTGTAGCATACAGAAACTAACCTAGGAGAAGATGAAATTGAATAATATCTTGGCTGCAGGCGAGGAGCAACTGCTGCAAAAAAGACACCAAGTTGGGGCTTGGCAGAAGGAAATTCAGCCATGACCTCGAGGAGACTTCTTTGGCTTGCAATCACCCACTTTGCATATTCATCCTGCACAGGCAAAGACCAGAATAACATCCAAATTAGAATTAGAAATATAAGCACATTAAGCTAATTCAACCGATACAAAATATTACAACCTTTCCTGATGGAGAGGCAAGATGTTTAAGTCGATCAGCTTCAGATGGATCAGAAGCATGGGCAGCTAAGGCGAGTAAGGCAGACTGGAAGGCATAAGTAGAGTTATTAGTTAGTAATGTACAAGTATGAGTCTCAATAAGAGAAAAGTGGCATAAGGTGTAATCAATTGTGCATCAAACTCAAAACAAGCACCTTTTTGGGTGAACTCAAAAGATCTGCATATCGAGCCAGCGCTGTTCTTAAAGTGCAGGGAGGGAATGAAGGTGGCAGGGAGCCATTAAGTGGTGTCCCATCTTCTTCAGTAGTATGGATGGAAAAATAGGTATCTGGTGACAGACCTAGTAATCCTAATGCTTCTTCCACAGTTTCAGATAAATTCTCAGAGTAAACACCCACATGATCCCCTGTTTCATATCTATGAAACAACAAATGCACAAGAACATGAATCAGTACAATGAGTATAAGCAGTGTTTTTATAGATTATATTTTGCACACAGATACTTGCCTAATTCCAGTGCCAGAAATGTCAAATTCTAGATGAGTGCAAGAACGATCTGATGCAGGAGTATGAAGCTCCCTTCTCACAGCCACATTTGCTCTTCATGGAGAGTAAGTAATACATATCAGCTTAAATTTATATACAACTCCAAGTTACAACTGAAAAAGTCTACTCTAACATTTACCTGCATGGATGTTGAGCATCAACAACAGCATGACCATTTGCATTATGACTGATCTCAGAAGGTACATTTGCTGGATTGTGAATCACAACCCGATATTCCAATATAGCAGCAGCATAAGGGGTAGATAAAGTTTTACCATCCTCTTTCCCAAGCAACTGATCCAATTCTGGCCAGACCAATTCTTTCCTGCAATAACAGAAATTATTAAGGAAGAAGGACGTTTCTTAAATATTTGCAAAGAAATAGATTTCCACTTTAACATACTCAAATAAACCAAACATTTCAATACCATGCATTGAAGTCATCCTCTATGCATTTATCATCATCTCCAAGACCTAATGAGACAAGACGCTTCCCACCTGAAATTGCAAAATTCAAGTCAGATTGGTGGTCGTATTTAAAAATGAGAATGAAAAAACAGTACTAACAAGTTAATAATACTAGACTAAAATGCCAGAAAGTACATATGTTTCATCCACCTAAAAAAAAAAAAAAAATATATGTTTCATCCAAATGACCAATTGACCATCCTTGTAGAAGTCACAAAATTAATGAAAGTTAAATAATTCCCAGACAAATTTCTCAAGCAGCAAAAGGAATCAAGAGATACCTTGCTCACCAAGCTTCTCATCTATCACCTTCGCCACCTGTAAAAATGTACATAAGCATGAAACCAAGATGTTAGCAATGGCATGTTTGGAAAGCGAAGCAGAACGGAACTTGAAAATACGAGTTAATCCCAAACCTTGTTGAAATGTTCATACTGTCTATTCCCAAGGCCAAACACACCATATTGAAGATTTTGAAGCCATTCTCCCTTATCTTGTACCTAAAATTCCAGCAACAAAATCAAGATTTAATTTAAACTTATTGCAACTAATGACCCATCCATTCGAGTAACAAATTCAATTCAAACTTACCTCTGCAAACCATTTATAAAATCTTGCGGCATTGTCCGTTGGTTCACCATCCCCATATCTGCAACATCTCCAACAGGTTTAATTCCCAACAGTAGAAAGCAGCAACAAACCATTTGAAGAGAAAGGAAAACTTACGTAGCCAAGAAAAAAAGTGCCAATTTCTCGTTTTTCAACTTCTCCTCAAACTCGTCATCATCGCCGGCATAATCATCCTGCTCATCACCATGACCCGAACATAAGCATCAACACATGCAAACACACCAAAAAGACCAATAACAAGAAGAAAACATTTTGAATCACAGAAAGCATATAGTACCAAATCAACAACTTTAAACGTCGCCTTCTCGTATCGTGCTTTTGCTTCATTCACTAGTGCCTGCCCATAACACAAGTTTTAGCACAATCCAACTGAAAACTCCAAAAATATAGCCCATACTCACGCGCGCAATTTAGTAAGCCTACCTTGGCAAACCCTTCAGCGGTACCAGTTTGAGTGCCAAAGAAGACGGTGACCTTTGTCTTACCATCATCGACCTCCGCCTTCGGGGCCGCAACCTCCAACGGTCTGAGTGGCACGACGGGCCTCGACTTTGAACTGTGGGATCTCCGCCACATCAGAAAGACCACACACCCGATCAAAACCGCTATGGAAGTGGTCAGCACCATCTCGTAGTTCCGTTTCTGCAATAGCATCGAAACCAGGTCGTTGGAGGTGTCTAGCTTACCGTCGATGATGGCCGAGATGATATCCATAGCACTAGGTTCCATGGTCCTTGAAAGAAACACAGGAGACAATATATGATCAATGGAGCAGGAAGAGTTTGGGAATATGGGTGAAACGCGAATCCTAGAAGAATGAAGAAGAAGAAGAGAGGGGGGTTGACAAAACTACGGAAATGGGAGTGAATTGGAGGTTTATAAAGAGAATCGAAGTTTACATATTTGACTATTGAGAGGTAAAAGAGCGCAACAAAACAACGCCTGCCAAACCAGACTAGTCAAACCACCAAACGACGCGCCTTTTAACCCTTGCTTTTATCTTTTTATGTCCCACCTTCCCCTTTCTCTACTCTGTATCAGAAAATGAAATGATTGAATCCTGATTGAATTGAAAGTATCAAAACTTGGAAAAAAAAGTTTGAAGTTTCAATATTTTTCATGATTCATTGCATTTTTTATATTTCAAAAGCAGGGTCAACCAGTGCTTCTGTGTTCCATAGATGAAAATTTGAAGAGAAGTTTCTCCGTTTTGATGGAGAGTCAACCGCTAATCCTAATTTTTCAGGAATCTAAAAGAGGATATAACTTAATTATTTTTCCGTTACATGCTCGTAACTTAACAATGAATTGTACAATGCATGAATGACGTGATTGTTAATAAATACCCAATATGATTAAAAGAACTTAACTTACCAACTACTATCCTTAATGCGTTTGAAAACGAAATATAACGAGAAATGAGAGCTGAAAGAATGGAAGGGGGAGAAAAAAAGTTTCGTGGAGGGATAGTACCCACATACAGTCACCCCAGAATAATTATACTTGTAAGAAAATCTTGTCGTAATATTTTTTTTAAAAAATTATTACAATTAAATTGTTTACTGTTTATAAATTTATTTATAAATTTAAGATCCAAAGTGCATAATTTGTGGCTAGTTATTAATAAAATTTTAACACAGTAATTCATTGAACCGAAAAATGCATTCATTGTTCTGTCTCATCTTTACATGGATTTATTCCAAGTAGTAGCAACTAGTAATAGTAATAGTAATAATAATAATAATAATTAAAATACTACCTTAAAAGAGAGAGAAAAGAAAAATGGAGGAAAAACTGGCTGAAGGAAAAAAAACGTGAAGAATGTAATTTTTTTTGAAAAAATTTAAAATGTTTTTGTTTTGGAAAGTCGATCATTTTTTAATATTTTTAACCTCTAGGAATTAGTATATTTAATTGATCAAATTATAAGTGTCTATTGAAACAAACTAAATTACAGAAATCTAATTTAAAATTAAAAAAACTAGAAGAACTTGTATGTTGATTTTTTCTAAAATAAAAAAAATAAGGGGGTTTTGGCGTCATGACCTGGGCACTTTAATTGACAAAGCAAATAATTTATGTTTGGTCATTTGTCAATTACTTTACTGTTGTATAAGTATTCAATGAATTAATGTTTGTGGATACGTGGAACAGTTGAAATAAGTGGAAAAGATGTATGTAACGTAGATGAATTATTTGCATTCAGTGAATCTCAGTGCCACTGGCAAGGTAATAAAAATTTGGACAAAAATTCTCACATATATTCTAGATACTAAATAAATAAATAGCCATTCACGGTTTGAAAAGAGGACGCCGAAATGGGAAAGTTAATAATAATAATAATAATAATAATAATAATAATAATAATAATAATAATAATTAATGAAATTGTCAAAATGATGTGAACGATTATTTTATTTAGAAGTCAAAACAAAGGAATGTTGTGCATGTAGGTGTTGTGGGTCGATTCATTTGCACTACTTTATACAAAATAGAAATTGACAAAATTTCAATTTGGCGTGTTTTCCTCAGCCTACCTCAGCACTGACCTTCTCATTAGTATTAGGGGGGAAAATATGATCGCGCCTGATTTAACTTTCTATGTATTTTTTAAACCTCGTTTCATGATCAGCATTTCACAAAAGCTTAAAAAAAAAGAAAAAAAGAAAAAAGAGGAACCCCCTATTGTAGTGCCAGGTGTAAGAAGATGCAGAGAACTTGTAAAGAAAGTTGTATTAACATTCAAATTTTTTTAGTAGAAAATGCTTCATTAAAATCAAAAGATCAGTGCTACTGCTGGGAATACATCAATCTTAAACATTTCTCATCTCCTCCTCCTCTTGCTTTAAACATTCAAATTTTGGAACCACCAGATGCTTAATTTAACTTATAAGAGAGCTATATCATTTTAATTGGAAGTTGTTTTTCATAGGTGTTGTATTTGAACAACAAAATCAGAAGTATCAGAAATGTCGAATCTCAAAAATAACTATAGGGTCCCAACTTTCTGCATTAATTCATCCAAATGCAAAAACAAAAAGAGATTAGTGTAAAAAATGTGTTTTTATTATTGAAAAAATATGGTACAAAGTGGCAATGATCACATCTTATGAACTAAAAATAAATCTAAGCCAGATATGGAGTACAAGGGTAATTTGGTGTAAGCTATGGTTGCTTCTAATGGTAATTACTAAAATTATTTGAAGCAAGCAATTATTGGTTTTTTTTTAATTAACAAATCAACCACCCATTACCCTATGATGATATTTGAAGATGTGGTAAGTTTGATCAATATGTTCTGAAAACTTTTCTCTCAAGAGCTCTCCTCTCTCAGTAAACAACGTTATTTATTGTGAAATTAAATCTCAAGTTTATCCCTTTTAGTCCTAGATTCTCGCGTGATAGAAGAGAAGTTTTATCATTATTTGAGATATGTTTTTTGTGGGTCAAAAATAAAAACTGGGTCTAACAGTCAACTCATTTAAGTTCATATTTATATGAATTTGAGCTTTAAAAAATAATATTTTTTTTTAAAAAAATTAGCCTTTGAAGCCTTGCCCTGAAAAGCCTTAAAAAAACAAATTTGGGATTGGGACAGCTTCTTTAGACTTCTTGCTATTTTACCTCTAAAAAATAAAATATTTTTAATTTTAAAATTAAATTTAAATTTTAGAATATGCATTTATATTTTAAAATTATAATGTTATCATTTATTTTAATTTTTTGAAAATTATAATTTGTATTTTGAAAATATGAAATATTATATTTGAAAATTGTAATTTTTAAAATTCAAAAAAATAAAAGAAATAATAAAAAAGGTTTACAAGTCTGATTCTAACCTTTTAAATAATGGTTGAGTTTTAAAAAATAATTGATTTTAGGGATAATTAGTTTTATGAACTTGAGCTTTCACGGTTCCATTTTTCTATAATCCATAATCCTTCATGATTGAACATAGATTTTTACCATTTGAATATTGAAAGAGAAATAAGAGTAAAGGAAAAGCAAAAGAGAAAAAGAGTAGGACACACATTTTTCTTTCCTAGATTTTCTCTTTAGAAATGTAATAATTTTAGAAAGAGAATATGATTTCCAAAATTATATATCCTAGACGCTGCAACAATCTAGGCTTGAAGCCATAATTTTTTTATTTGAGCAGTCATTCTTCTTTCATTTTTTTTAATCCAAAGATAAAGAAATAATTTGTTTTCTATTCGCTTTTCATTTTTCTTTATTTTTTAAAGCTATGTTAAGCCGCCTTTTGTTTCAACTTACAGTGTTTGGTGACATTATCATGAATCTGTACTGCACATTCATTTGCAGTGCCATCTTCATTTAAAAGCACCTCAACAATAAAAACTTCAAGTGTCAATTACTAAACCAGCATGTGCACATGGGCCTTCACTATTCTCACCTTCAACAAAATCTTAAACCGCACTTCATACACCTAATTAAAACAGAAAGATTACCCCAAACACAACACAAACTCACAATTAACCATAATCTTGAATAATCATGGCTTATTAATTGGACTCAAGATTGAGGGCATTACAAACGCATTACTTGGAAGATACATGGAAGGGGCATCTTGAATGAGGTTGAGGCCTTGAGGACCTTTGAAGTATCACTGAAAAATTTGGCTTTTCTTTAAAACTATTAAAAACTGTTTGGTGCACGTGCAGGGTCAAAGGAATCTATCTCATGGTTCTGCAGGCAGCAGCTACCAAGTACCAAGTGAAGAATCTCAAACCAAAATTCTCTCTCTATCTGGCATGTTAGTACGCAGGGTTTTTCTTTGACAATTCCATTATTGGCCTAGACAACTCCATTTGGAAGATGATTTTTATATTTTTTTCAATAAGACACCATTACTCTTATTCTATGCATAGAAAAATAGAAATTTCATTTTAAAATGTATTTTATATGAATAAGGTAATATTTTTTTACTAGACAGACAGAATTAATAAATTTTTAATTTTTTTCTTAATTTAGATAAAAAATATAGAAGTGGTTTATAAATAAAATTCAAGAATATTCTATTAAATAAACTAGACTTGATTAGATTACATACAGGCATGTCCAGCGCTACTTGCACGATTAGTTAAGAAACATTTTTTTTATACACGTGTATCTCTTGCATTGCTTGGTATGCGATAGAAGCGAGACTACCGACCACACCTGATTGTGATCAAATTCCGGTTCCCGAATGTCACTCCCTTAACGAATTCGTTAACATTATTTCCCTCTATTTTCTCCTTCGGCTATATATATATAAATAGTGTATATATATTCATTTCGCATATTTCAAATTTCCACGGCGCTCAGATCTATGAAATCCACGCTCAGGAGCAGACACTCCCATTTTGTTGCTCGGTTTCTGAAGCCTTAGGAGGAAGAAGACAAGGAAGAAAGCTCTCAAACACAGCAATGTCAGCCATTGACGGGGATTTCGATCTTCGGGTAATCTGAACCCTGACATGCCCTTGTAATTCCCTTCTTTTCTTTCTCTCTCGCTGACTCTTCCTTCCCCCTCTCATTCTGTTTCTTCGCGGCCGTCTTCTCAGTCTTCATTCACAATCGAGTGAGTTTTCCCTTCAATTATCACGCTTACTCCCCCCCCCCCCAAAAAAAAAAAGAAAAAAAACGTCTCACTGTATCGCGCGCTCGTTATAGTGAGTACACCTTCGCCGATGCGGGAAATTTGGAGCACTGCGCCAAGTATTTGAACCAGTCTCTTGTTACGTTCGGATTTCCAGCTTCTCTGGATCTTTTCGCGAATGACCCTGTGAGAATTGATCTCTGATGCTGTTCAGTTGATTATAATCTGGGAAAATGAAGAAAGGGACTTTTCTTCGTTTTCTTTTAATATGTCTTTATTTTGGTAGGTTTCCATTGCACGGACTTGCAATTGCATACACTTCTTGCTACAGCAGAGACAGCGGGATATTGAATTTAGAGAGTCTGCTAATGAACAAAGACAGCGGTAATTGTTCCCTATACCTTCTCATTTGTTTAATTTGGCCATTGCCCACTGGATCTTATATGCCTGGCGTTTAGTATTATTTTTGGGGTGGCTTTCTGTTGTTAGCTAGTTGCTATGTAATGCAGTTGAACTTCCCAGCTATTTCTGTACTAATCATCTATGGAAAAACTTGTGCTTGCTTTATTTTTCTTGACATATCTGACATTCAACTTCACAAAATTTTTGTTCCCATGTACGTTTATTTTCCTAATTTGCCCATGTTCCTATTAGGTGTTTTATTTCTATGGATTCCACTTTTCAGTAACGCCCTGCTATATTTTCATCTGTATTGGTGAAGAGAATAGCGTGTCTATATTGTTTGACATTAATAGGTTCACATCCGCGTTTTGCGATGGGATTTCAGAAATTAAGTTTCAGATTATTTTTATTGTGTTGTGACAGTTGCAAACTAGCATTAGACCTCCACTTGATTGCTCATTGTTTAGTTGATTGGACTCATTTTTTCTCCTTCTATACTTTGGTGTGATAGACTATTATCTGACATATCAAGATTGGAAGCCAAAGTTGAGAGGCTTGAAGGACAACTACAATCTAAAGACCGGGAGATTGCAACAATTACTAGAACAGTAACATGACTAATTTTTCATATATTAAATTTTATGACAAATTGTATAACAGAAAGTAAAATTCAAGATTATCAATTATGTCATCATTCAAGAATTTCTTATTACAACATAATGCTATTGATAATTATCTTTTTTTTTTTTGGGGTGTTAATTCTGAATAAAATTCTCCCTGTTCAGGAAGCTAAAAACACTGCAGCTCTCAAGGCTCAAATTGAGAAGCTTCAACAGGAGCGAGATGAATTTCAAAGAATGGTTATTGGAATCAGGTCTGAAACTGGATCTATGTTGTTTTTGCAGCATTTGATAATCACCACTTGTATTGGTCAAATTATGACTTATAAAAATGAATATGTCAATGCTGATAAAGCAAGTAAGGACTCAACAAATGCATGAGATGAAGAAGAAGGAAAAGGAATACATAAAGTTGCAGGTGGGATTTCTATTCTTTCTTCTTTATTTCTTTTTTTAATTCAAAGAAGAAAGATATTTAAATGAATGGTGCTTAGATGATAGGACTTTTACGGATGAACAATTATATTAGCACAAAAGTTCATACGATATTAAATTTTGAATGAAGGCCTATCATGTTCTTGCAGGAGAGGTTAAATCAAGTATTAATGGAGAAGAAGAAGGAATCAAGGTCAGGCATGGAAATAATGAATTTGCTACAGGTATAAATTATCCAAGCGGTTTTGAATGTTTCTGGCAATTTTTTCAGTGCCATAGTAATTTGGTCTATTATGTGTGTAATTCAGAAAGAAGGGCGGCAACGCGGAACATGGAATGGGAAGAAGACAGACAATGACTTTTATAAAAAAATCGTATGCAGCTTGATTTGTTTTCTCTATGTCTTGACATGCTTTTGTATTTTGGACTTTCTCATCTCTTGCATTTTTTTTACAATATAATAGGTAGATGCTTATGAGGCGAAAAATCAAGAACTTATAGCAGAGAATGCTGATTTAAGAGCATTATTGAGATCATGCAGGTAACCCTTTTTAGTAATTGGTATTTGCTGAAGTTTCTACTTTGCAAGTGTTTGAATGTAATATTCCTTTCTTCAACTTTATCTGTACGTTCTCATTCAGCATGTGCTGCCTTTTTATCTTTCAACTTGCCTCCAGTTGCATGATGAGAAATATACCCACATGCAGTTGTCAACTAGAATTAAACTTTTATAACTCCTTATTTTCTCAGTAGCTAGGAGTAGATATTTAACTTTTATAGTTACTCTACCGTATGCACGTTAC